GCTGCTGAACAATGACATGGCTACAGGCAGGGTTCAAGAGTGCCATAAGCTAGAGACCATTCCCAAAGCTGCTTCTTACATACAGGAAGCAGACCACATACCCAAAGCAGCTACTCAGCTGCTTGTGATAGATCCTATCACAGAGTTGTTGCCAGTTTCTTCATGGGGAATAACTACCACTAGTTGTCCAGCCATTCAGCCAGGCCCCACCAAGTTGACATACAACTTTGACTACCACAACATGCATATGTAGTGATTGAAAATACATTGCTTAGGAAGGTGCAACTTAGTCTTTAAAGAGATATCTTTGCTCTTCAGCACTTGAAAAAGGTCTTTCACAGTAGATTTGCCCAGTGCAATATGTCATCTCATGTCTTCGGTGCTGCTTCCATTGGTGTTGATTGTGACACCAAGTAATATGAAATTTTTGACAACTTCAATCTTTTCTCCATTTATCATGATGCTGGCTACTGGGCCAATTGTAAAGATTTTCATTTTCTATATGTTGAGGTGTAATCTATACTGCAGATTGCAGTCTTTAATCTTCACGAGTAAGTGCTTCAAGTCATCCTCACTTTCGGCAAGCAAAGTTGTGTTGTATGCATATCTCAGGTTGTTAATGACTTCGCAAATCCTGATGCCATGTTCTTCTTCATATAGACCAGCTCAGATTATTTTCTTAGCATACAGATTGAATAAGTATGGTGAAAAGATACAATCCTGATGCACTCCCTTCCTGATTTTAAACCAAGCAGTATCCCCTTGTTCTGTTCAAACGACAGCCTCCTGGTCTATGTACAGGTTCCTCATGAGCACACTTACGTATTCTGGAATTCCCATTCTTCTCAACATTATCCATAATTTTTCATGATCCACATGCAATTGAATGCTTTTGCATAGTCAATAAAACACAAGTAAACATCTTTCTGGTATTCTTTTCTTTCAACCAAGATCCATCTGACATCAGCCATGATATCCCTCATTTCATGTCCTATTGTGAATCCACCTTGCATTTCTGGAAGTTCTTTGTCAATATATTGCTGCAACCATTTTTGAATTATCTTCAGTAAGATTTTACTTGTATGCAATATTAATGATATTGTTAGATAATTTACACATTCTGTAGGATCACCTTTCTTTGGAATGGGCATAAATATGGATCTCTTCCAGTCAGTTAGCCAGGCAGCTGTCTTTCAAATCTCTTGGCATAGTCAAGTGAGTGCCTCCAGGGTGGCATCCATTTGTTGAAACATCTCAATGGGTATTTTGTCAATTCCTGGAGCCTTGTTCTTTGTCAGTTCCTTCAGTGTAGCTTTGACTTCTTATTTCAGTACCATTGGTTCTTGATCATATGCCATCTCCTGAAATGGATGAACATCAACCAATCCTTCATCATCCAATATTTTGCCCATGTTGTTGTTGTTATGTGCCATCAAGTCAGACCTGACTCATAGCGACCCCTCCTTGGGTTTCCGAGGTGGTATCACTATGGAAGTA